CGCCAGCCTTGTCATGGGTTTACAAATTCTAACTTATACGCACACCAATGCCAATATCCTTCAGTCAATAAATGCGATTGCCCTTTAATGCAGAACACATCCCATATAAAATATCTTGGTATCTTAATTAACGACACACTGGTGCCAATTCTAGCGTGATTCTCTATACTTAAAACTAAATTTAACATCAGTCTCTCCTTTTCATTCTGTATGGAGAATGACAAAGATATACTGCTGTCAAATTTAAGTTTAGGTTTAGAGAATCATGCTAGAATCGACACCATTATCTTTTAGACAGCATATTGCAAATCTAGTAGTCAGGATCCGTAAATTAATGTATATTTTTAAAAAATTACGTACCATTGCAGGTCCAAAACTAATTAAACAGGTATATCAGGCCTTACACCAATCAGTAATTCAATATTGTATAACTTCATGGGGTGGAGCTCTCAAAACTATTTTAATCCCTCTCGAGCGAGCTCAGAGAGCCATTTTAAAAGTAGCCAATTCACTTCCCTTCTTATATCCTACGCATCAACTTTACAAATACTGTAATGTGTTAACTGTTCGCCAGCTTTTCATTATGCACACCATATTAAAACAACACACCATTTCACCTTTTTGCTCTGATATCACTAACAAAAGACGGAAAGATATAGTCTGCATCTCTACACATGATTCAAAATACATCTTTTCACATAGATTCTCTACTTTCCTAAGTCCTTTCTTATATAATAAGTTAAATAGAGTATTAGGTATTTATACATTAAACTATTTTAACTGTAGAACTGTAGTATTTAATTATTTGCACAGCCTGACATACGAGCAGACCGAAGAATTACTTCTGATTTGTAAATAAATGAACGTAACTCCATAATTTACATTTACCCACATTTATATAATGATTACTTTAAGTTCTGTTTTGATTAATTTGTTAATTTATTAATCATTCAATTTATTATTTAGATCATAAAAGCCTGAAATACAGGTACAATTTTAACTGTAACCTAGTTCAGGCATCCATTATTTTGTACTTTATATTGTTATTAGTTATTATTTATGCAATGTATGACCTTATTTGAATAAAGATATATTTATTATTATTATTATTATTATTATTATTATTATTATTATTATTATATATTTTTTTTCCCCCAATTACCGTAACGATGGGGAATTTTCAAATGTTATTTTTAATTATGTTTTTAATAATTTTACTCACTTCCAGTTTGATGTGAATCTATGTACCTTCACTCTTATTTTGCTGTCTATTTTGACTGGACTATAATACTTAAGGTACTTAAAACAGACGCAATTACGCATTCGATACTATCGACCATCTTAATGACTGTTTAAGGAATGTACAAAAAAATGGGCAATGAGATAACTGGAGAATGAAATGGCACGAATGAGAGATAGATACAGTATATAATACCATTGTCTTAGATTTAATAAAATCTAATTTAAATTAAATGACTTATCATTTGTACTCAGGTATGTCAAAATTTAATGTCATTTAAAATGATTTTGGGTTTGTACCTAATATAACACGAAAAATTTTTTACTAAAAAATTCACTTTATCCACGTGGAAGGAGCTGAGTCGAATCCTGTCTGATGCCTTTACTGAGTGGAACTTATTCTAATATATGTTTTTTATATATTTATAAGAAGAAGTTTCATGCGTAAAATGTAATATATTCAATTTTTGTGTCACGGTGTGCGTAATTGAACTCTTCCGAAACGGATCGACCGATTTTCGTGAAATTTTAAATGCATATTCAGTAGGTCTGGGAATCGGATAACATCTATTTTTCATCCCCCTAAATGTTAAGGGTGGTCCACCATTAATTGTTTTTTGGAACAAAGTTTTTGACGTGACAACGTCTTAAATTAGGTTGCGGCTGGGAGTCACTTATGAAAAAGTGTAACGCTCGGTAACGTTACGATGAGTCTCTCGTGTTAAGTTTAAGTTTACATGTACAATGTTTTAGTAAACAAAATATATTTCTATAGTTAAAATTTGTGCAATTCTTATTTTCATTCAATTCCTTGTTCCTATTGTGCAATTTAATTATATTCATATCAATAAATATTCTACCGAGAAAAAGACGTTGTCACGTAAAATCTTCGCCCGTAAAACCGACTTTACAGGCAACCATTTTTTTGTTTTTATTTTTCATGATACATCCAAGGAACCTGAAAAAAAGACGGACGTAATCTCGTCTTATCGCGAGTGAAGCATGCAAATGGCCGCCCGCTTACCGCGTGTGCGTGATTTGAGGGTTGTCGGGTAAATCATCAGTTTCCCTACTTGTAAATCTCCCAAACTAAAACATTGTTAACATTATGTAATCAATTATATATTAAAATAACGGGATATTTACCACGTGTTTTAATCGTTGTGAGCTCCCGATTTTTCAGCAATTTAAACGGTTGCACTTCAGAAACATGATGTAGGTCTATCAAATTAGTTTTTAAAAACACAGAGATAGAAATGAAAGCACTTGTTAAGTATAAAGAAGTTTATTGTTTACATCTAAATAATAGTGTCTTAATATTAAGTATGAGTTTAATAACATACATTAATATACATAAATCGCGCAGATTAATGCTTAAAATAAAAATATAATAAACTAATATTGCTAAATGTAAGTTGATGTTTTCATTCATAGATTTAGTAGGTACCTATTTAATGACTGACAGAGTGGGGAAAAGAGATATCATGCCAATCCTATAGAAAGAGACGCAACATGAGGTACCTTTGGTCTAATAATATTTTTTTAGCAAGAGTCGCAGCGCCCTGTCAAGTCGTACTAAGATAAAATTTATTATGAAATTCTGTGAAACTAAGAAAACAATAATGCATATAACACAACACAATTGTGCTTATTACAAACTGAATAAGTAAGTGTTATGATATCCTGTGTTTTAAGCATATCTTGATAAATCGACACTATCACTCAAAATCAAACACCGATTCGCACACATGCACAGATTTTTTTTTGTTACTCTGTCTATCTTTACATCCTATATCTGTGGTTTCATTTGTCATTGTGGTTTACCTACAATGCGAAGAAATGGCACTACTGTGCAGCCTAAGAAATACAAGAAGAAATTCGTCACGATCATTAAGGTCTCGGTAGCACAGCAATTAGTGCATCCACCCAGACAGCAGAAAATGCAGGTTCAAGTCCTGCCTGTAGTTCATTTTGTAATAATTTTGGATGTCGTAAACTAGTTTCAAAAGTTTATTTGTATAGTAGTTCTGTTAACTGGTTTCAACTGTATTTTTAATATTTTTATACATTTTCCGCCGTTTCTTTACAGGCTCCGGTTTGAACGAAAACCAAACAAGTGTGCACTGCACACAGTACTGGAAGGTGATGGGTTCCAATTGTTATCCCCTTTGCAGTATCGAATAATTAAAACCCAGTCATCCCTACGGTTTCTATTTCTAGGAAACCTATTAGAAAGGAGGCAAGACAATAATTTATATAAATTATTCTATGAATAATATGGTTTCTATTATTTTCTTTTTGAGATACGGAACCCTAAAAAGTTACGAAATCTGATCTTACCTACTCACAATTGCAAGAAATACAAAATTCCCTACTTTTAGGGAAAATTTCCGGTAAATAAAGTAGCCACACAGTTGTATTTCTGTTAACATTTTTCATCCTTGTAAATAATATATAATATAGAATAATTATCAAGAATTGTCAATACATATGCATGGTAGGCGATTCCTTGTGACTTTTCAAATTTACTCGTGTAGTTTTTAAAAAATATCACATCACACGGCATTTTTTTTAAAATATCGGAGCAATTGAACGTGTGATGTGCACTGTCACACGGGGTCAAATGGCAGCGAATTGTCCGACCTGGTGCATTAGTGTGAGTGTAGGTAGTGTACAACACACGATTTTGTCTGACCTTGCACGCTTCACATGATTTGCCTTTGATATTACGTCCGCCTTGTTTTCAGGTCCGTGGATACATCATACAAAAATACATATAACCTTAAATTTTCACCCTTCTACCACCCATATTTTTATGGCGATACGAAGTTCGCTGGCTCAGCTAGTAAAATATAAAAAACTACTGTTCCTAATCTAGTAAAAATGTTTGGTTGTAGCAAAGAAAGTAAGAACAATGACTGTAATCAAACCTAAACCTTGACGAGTTTCTTGACATTACTGATTGCATGCGTTAGTTGGTATGTATCTACTAGTAATAAAGATTTGGCCTACCAAATCTTTCTCATCTTATCTTACTCGTTTAGGTTTGATTACAATCATAGTTCTTACTTTCTTTGCTTCAACTAAACATGTTTTACATATTCTACTAGCTGAGCCAGCGAACTTTTGTCACCTATGTCGTAGTTAATTAATATTTTTAAATCCCCTTATTATATTATGTGGTAACGATCACTTTTAAATTATTATTTTATTTTATTGAAGGCGTCAGTAAACGGGAGTAGTTTTCGGGAAATTCTAGTCCCAAGTGGGCAATCTAAAAATTGACATTTCATTCACCACTCTCAATCTCGATCACTCACTACAAGGGTGTATTCCGTAATATATACCAGTATACTGGCTTGTCCTAATGACGTCTTGAATCGACGCTATACTGGTGAATTATTCCAAAATATACAGGCCAATGCACTGACGACGTCATAAATCAACGAAAAATTAAAAATAGTGCGAATAAAGAAGATTTTTTATCCACCTCATCAATTAAAAGGAATTCTTTTTGTTCGGATGCCATTATTGTTCTTTAAATAAAAAAGAAATAAAATTCGAATGCATCTCACGTACGCTCGGTTATACGTCATATATTCGTTTTCCCGGTAAAAATATGGTAGCATACCAGTACAATATGGCGTTGGATTCGTGACGTCATTACCACTGGCCAGTATACTGTTGTATATTTCGGAATACACACAAATCAGCCAATTTGTTATTCACTCACTCATTCTCCTTGATTTATTTATTCAGTAGGTAACTACCGGGAGCGAAGGCAAATATTTTTTACAACAAGTATTGTACAAGTAATTTATCTGAATACCATTTACTGGAACACATAGTTGTATTACAAGTGTCTGGAAAATCAGTGATGAAATGAAAGAGTTTTAGGCATAAATTAAATGATCCTAGCTCAATGGCCGTGTTTTTCGTATGTCAATAATGGGCTTTTCATCGATGTAAAACAACAAATATCGTGATGTTTCTAGCAGATTATGTGACGATGGATTCTCCACAGTGGCGAAAATGCTGTCTCATTTTGATAATAATGTTACTGGACACGATCGATGGTGAGTGTTTTTCATCACTTGCACCCATGCTTATATTTTTGTCTACATCTAGATTAGCACTGGTTACACGAGGGTTCTTAGACCGGGTTGGCAGCAGCTAAAATCAAACATTACAACGTTTATCCACAATAAGTTACACGTAAAACTTTAAATTAGTATGTATGTAGATAAAATACTAATAGTCCTAAGATGTTTTTGGCGGCTTTGAGCACACAGTTACGATAACATCGTCGCATGTTTTAATTATAATAATCTGATAATGTAGATATATAGTGGTTGTATTTTACAAAGTATAATAGATCTAAACATTGATTCTATGTTTTTTGGAGTTTGGTTGGGAATAACATTTTTTGTTTGGTTTTGGGAATTTCACAATTGCTTGTACAACCAGCATTCACTGATTAGACAGATCAGTGGCAACTAACCACTGCAGATCAATTCAGTAAAATGTCTTATGTAAGTAGTTTAGTATTATTGTTTGAAAGAGCTTTTTACTTACTTTTGATTATTGGTTGCATAATTATTTACTTTCACATCATGTTCTGTAATTATATATGTACATGTTCTGTAAGTATATTCTTATATGTGTATCAATTCCAAATACATGTATTCTATCCATTATCATAGTATCCCATAACACAAGCCTTACAGTGTTTACTATAGGGCCAGGCCATAATATAATTGGTGTGCGTGTGGGAAATACTTTTGTTATTATTAAGTACTAGCTGACCAGGCAAACTTCTTACTGCTTACAATAATTTGGAAGAAATGAAAGCTATCCATATGGCAGGAACATAGCTTTTACTATAGTTAGCAATTATTTGGGCGAATCTTCTGTAGATTGATCTTTCAGCAATGTAACTACAAATTGATTAATAGAGGCAAACCCTTATTACATTGGCAGAAGTCGATCTTAGAATAACTGTCACTGTTTCATAACTATCAAATCTTTGACTTCAAATAGAAAAATGGCTCAAGTTCAGTTGCTTAGCGAAATCACACTACTGCATCCCTTATTGCTGTAGCGCAATCACTTGAGCGGCTTCATCAGCAGTGCTATCCATCTTCAAGGTGGTTTTTTTGTGAAAGATCTTCTTGTGTGTCCTCTTCAACGTCTTCTATAGGATTATTCACTATCCAACTTCAAGTTGGATAGTGAATAATCCTATTGAACCTGTATTAACCCTTTTATACCCACTTAAACCATTATGTCCCTCAAATCTAAGGCCATTGGGTACGATGGTGTAAGTAGGCACATGGTCCTTAGTATATTAGATAGTATTCTCCCTATCATCACATACATAATTAATAAATCAATTTCCTCAGGTGAATTTCCAGACTCATGGCGCAAGGCTCATATTTTGCCACTTCCCAAAATAAGTAATCCCACAACTCCTACTCATTTAAGACCAATTTCTATTTTGCCATTTTTGTCGAAAGTCTTGGAGGCTACTGTCCATAGTCAACTATCTGCTTTCATAGTTAAAAATCACGTGCTAAACCAATACCAGTCTGGTTTTCGACCGGGTCATAGCACCACAACTGCCTTACTAAAAGTCACTGAGGATGTTCGTGATGGCATGGAGATGTCACGGTTAACGGTTCTGGTTCTCATTGATTTCTCTAATGCCTTTAATGCTGTTGATCATGACATTCTCCTTGCTATACTATCCCACTTGCGAATCTCGTCTCCAGAACAAGATTGGTTTTCATCTTATCTTCTTGGACGTCAGCAAGCAGTTCGAGCTGGCGGTGATTTATCGGATTGGTGCGATTTATCAGCTGGCGTCCCACAAGGCGGTATTCTCTCTCCTCTGCTATTTTCAGTCTTTATCAATCTCATTACCTCCATTCTTCGCAACTCTTACCATCTCTACGCAGACGACTTACAAGTTTACGCTCAAATTGGGGTGAATGACCTGGAAGTTGCCATTAGGTCTATAAATGATGATCTTCAGCGAATTTCGGACTGGTCTCGCAATTTCGGTATTAAAGTCAATCCGAATAAATGCCAGGCCATTATCCTGGGCAGCGCTCGTCTTCTGGCGAAGGTGGACATGAGCTCTGTTGCGTCTCTCTATTTTGAAGGAACCCCAATAAAGTTTTCTCCTGAAGTTGTAGACCTGGGTATACAGATTGACCATTCTCTCAATTGGATAGCACAAGTAGACGCTATAAGCTGTAAGGTGATCGGTATACTTCGGTCATTCTATCAATTATTCAAAAAATTTCTCCCAATATCTTCTAAAATTCTCTTGGTTCAATCCGTAATTTTGCCCATTATAGATTATGCTGATGTGTGTTACGCTGACATATCTCAAGAACTTCTTAACAAATTGGATTGATTGCTCAACAACTGCATTCGTTTTATTTTTTGTCTCCGTAAATACGATCACGTTTCTGCCTTTCGGAAGAAGTTAAATTGGTTAACAATTCGCCAACGTCGAAATCTCAGAATTCTTTCCACCCTATATTCAATCATTAATGATCCATGTGCTCCTGGATATTTGAAATGTAAATTTCGGTATCTTGGCAGTATCCATAATCTGAATCTTCGGTCTAGCAGCAAACAAACTCTAGCTTTTCCCTCTCACCATACTGGTTTTGTTTCCAACTCATTTTCTCTTCAAGCTATATGACTCTGGAACGCACTGCCTCCTCATATTCAAGATTCAAATGACCAATATTGGTGGGGGTACATGCTCGTGTTAAGGGTTAATAACGCTTGAAAGTTATTTTCGTGGAGGTGCCATTTTTTAACGCCAAGTGTAGTTGAATGTGCTGCCATCAACAAAATGGAAAAGCTAATGAAACTGAAACTAGCAGCCGACATTTTCTTGAGACTTTTTTTTTTCAACTAAACTTATTAGAGTATCTTGGCTGAAATTACACCCACTATTTCTTCGCCCTAAAAAGAAGTTCTGGGGAAAATTTCAGCAATTTCGTATGTGTAGGAGATGAGATACAGCTTTTAAAAAAATAATAAATCATTTTTAGGAGAGGAGATAATACCTAAACTTAAACTCTTAATGGTGTCGATTCTAGCGTGAATCTCTAAACTTAAAACTAAATTTAACATCAATCTCTCCTTTTCATTCCGTATAGAGAAAGACAAGGATACACTGTTGTCAAATTTAAGTTTAGGTTTAGAGAATCGTGTCAGAATTGACACCAATATCATGTTAATTTTTAATTTTATTTGTAATTTCGCAATGAAAAATTCTAATATTTAAAAAATATAGGGCCCGCGCCCTATCTTCTTTGTTTCGTCCCTGTTGGCTGCTAGCTGGTGGCTGCTAGTTTCAGTTTGATGAAAAGCTATTAGATACTACTGCTAATGCACTACCAAATTGAGGGATTACTTTTAACATATATAGTTTGGTTACTGGTGTCGATTCTGGCAGGGCTTCTCTAAACCTAAATTTGACAACAGTGTGTCCTTGTCATTCTCTATACAAAATAAAACGAAGAGACTGCTGTTAAATTTAGTTTTTAGTTTAGAGAATCTAGACAGAATCAATACCATTGTATGTTTATTTAGTGCACTTCCCTTTTTACATTTTATATGGAATGTTCTTCATGATATAAGCAAATTTGTTCCCGCCAATTCAGGGCATGCCATCAATTTTGTACAAACAATAGAGTAGATTGTTGCTTGTTCCTATTTGAAGTAAGTTTTATCCTTGAAGACATTACTGGGAATGGTTGCATTTCCATTTGATGTATTGTATGTTATAAGTTGCAAAAATTATGGGTGGAGCAGGACCGATCAGTTGAGGAAGGCCTGTGCTTAGCAGTGGGTGTCATATGGCTGATATGATGATGATGACTCTTATGTGAAATAAAAAAATAAGTACCCAAATAATGGCTACAATTTTTCATATACAGTAAATGTGGGATAATGAATAATGCGCTCAATTTAAATTATAAAGTATATCTTATTATTTTGAATGTAGCAGCATCATTCTCATCTCATAAACTGTTTTCTTTTTATGGATAATAAATTTTTCAGCCTAGCAGATGTACCGATCCGCAGTCCGTAAGACAAATAGTTGATTCTATTATAGTATAGAATCAAAAAGGGAAAATAGCAATCATCACCATGCTTTGTACTGGTAGTTTTCATAATTTAGAAACACTCCATTCTATTTGTTTGATATAGCTGTTGTGGTATAATAGTTCATCATATTGCCCCAATTATAAAAGTCTCGTTGTTTGATATATAGCACATCAAATACATAGGTAGTAGAATGTGTGAAATTATGACAAATGCTTATATTTTCTATAGTATTTTAAATATAGTCAAATTTAACTATGTATCATAAATGCGGCCTAACCCCTCGTTTCCACCAAGAAACAAGTTATATACTAGTTTTAAACAAAACTTGTAGAGTACCTGTTGTGGCTGTTTAAAACATTCTTATACTATAAAGACAACTAGTATCTTACAAGTATAAATCACTTATTTATTTTATTGTTTACTACATGTTTTATTCATGTATGTATGAGTGAACAAAAATTAAGACATTGCATAAAATTTGTTAAATACATGTATTTACCTTGGTGTTAACGAGGGGTTAGAGACTGCATAACCTATTTAGTTTTTAAACAATTATTTAACAATTATTATTATTATCATTACTCATTCTTCTTAACAGCTAAACATTGTTTATTTGGGCTCAGTGATTGGGTCCAGTTTGCATGTTTCATTAGCATATTCTGTAATATCAAGATTTTTTAAATATATACACACATCAAAAAGAGTTTGAGATCACTTGCAAAAGCTGATATATTTTCAAAATTTAACTTAATCAAGAGAAAATGTTTACATTACATCTTTTTTTATTTAAAAGTACACTTTCTGAAATAAAAAAATAAAACGTTTTTAGTATAAAAACTTTAATAATTCAATCCTAAGGCGATTGTAATAGAACTTTGATAGAAATAAAAAGATAATTTAACCAAACTTAAACACCTTTTATTAATAAATTGTTGTTTAT